GCCCTCTTAAGACTCTCCAGACTCCAGACCGGGCAAGTGGTATTCTTTGGTTAATCAATCTGCCTCGATGCTGTACATCATTTAGCCGGACCACGGATCCCAGTTGCCACGCTGCCTGAGCCTGCCTCTCGCGAGGAACCATGAAGCTTCTTGGAGCGAGACCAGGGCTTGGTGGGGCCAGCCGGACGCCATTTAATATAACCATCGCACGATAGATTGCAACCGTGCAGGACGAGGACGATTTGGGTACGGGGCGTGCAAGGGAGGCGAAGGCAACCATTCAAAATATGTGGGTAGGACTAAATCGAGTAACTGGTGATGGCCTCAAAAAATGCGACTGGTTATATATGGCGAAGTTTGCGAGTGTGTACTGTACCCATTGCAGGACGAGGTGCAGGAGGAAAGGGCGGATGGGGCTCAAGGGGGAGGGGCGGATGGGGGGCTCGAGGGGTTAAGCGTGGAAAAGCAGCGAGCTGGTCAGTGCAGGCGAGGCGAAGGGTGCTGTCAACAAGGTCCTCCTAATGCCCTCCCTAGCAAACAGAACACCAACAACCACCACCACCACACAAAACCTCCTCGCCGACTCAACTTCGTACACAGCCGAATCACCTCCACAGATGACCGCCAAGAGGTTACATTTCGGTCTCCACGCGCAACCCTCGCTTCTTCAGCCATTTCCAGCCCAGTCCAGCCAGCCCTCCACTGGGGGCGAAAGATACCTGGCGAGAATCCTTTTCGCCAAAATTCGCCTCTGGTCCCTCGGGACCTTGAGACGAGGTTCTTCCCCCTGCCATGAGGATCCAAGGTTCTTGGTGCAAGCGATTCATTATCATCACCGGGTACATCTATTATACTTTTCGAGGAGCATGGAATTATAGTGAAAGATCGCGCGGGCCAGCGATCCTCAGATGGAACGACAAAGGTTGGGGAAATTGTCACCATCGAAAACCACAGGCCGTTGTAAACGTTCACTGGTCAGATATCGCTGCTACACTTGCAAGTCTGCCGGCAAGACAGAAATCCGACACACAGGTCTCAGTAACCCTGTCTGTATTTTCAAATCTGCCGTTTTTCACATCCTCTCTCCCACGGCGTACCTGAGCACCTACAACCAAGGAAATGTAATGAATGATGATTGCTCTATCCATCTCGATCGCCGATGCAAAGATACGGGGTAGTTCTAAATTCAGAACGAATCTTTTGCTCTTTCTCTTTGCAAAGATGGCAACCTAATAAGAGACATGGTGGCCCTGCTCAACGGCAACCTCTTCATTGTTTTAGGGTCCGGATATCGACTGAAATTCATCAATATCGGGGCCGGAGGCGACAAAAACGCTGAAGTTACAATCAAGTGGAACCGCGCGCAAGAATTCTCGAAGGTTTCGAAAGCCCAGCCTCTCAGCCTCGAAAGGCCCAAAGGGTGCCCAAAGACTGGGGGTGTCAGAAGAAGCTTTTTGCGGGGGCCATCTCTCAAAATAGAAGAGGCTCTATACCAAATGAGGTTGCTAGGAGCGAAGCCATGTTTATTCTTCTTGCAAACTTCAGATACGCCCTGACCTGCTGTCTTGGCTTTGCGTGACAACGCCTTGCCATATAAGGTTTTCAGAAAAGCGACAAGCGAGATATGGTGATTTCAGGAAGACAGGGCAGACAAATGCTTGACTCTGTCTATCCGTCCATACATGGGACGAAAGAAGTATGCGATCTGTGGTCCGGACAGGAATAACTATGAAGCCGAGTGCAGACAGACGACTGCGGATACCAAGCGGGTCATCGGGGTGTCGAAAATCATTCGAAGGTGGTGGTGCAGGTGATGAGAGGATGAAAGGATGAGGCTGCCCGTCAAACAGGCGAATCAGATGTCAAGGACCAGACCCCGGAATTCCATCGAGATGCTGACACTGGCCTGGCCTGGTGCCTGGTAATTGCGGAGATATAAATGAGGTTGAAATTTACAAGACAACACTGCCTGTGCTGCGGCGTAGTGGAACCAGCCATTAGTCGGATCTTCTTAGCTGCACATCTTATAGCCTACCTTAAATTCGTCTAGCCGAATCAGCATCGACCTACCGATTTAGCGAGCGAGTTGGGGGCTTTCGTTGGGCAAGGTCTGAGACGACCTGCATGGCACATTTTCTCCACCACTGCCCGTCTGGATTTGCATCTAGGTGTGGTTATTTGGTCGGGTTGGTCGTCCAAAATGTTCATCCATCGCATCTGCTGATGGAATGATATGATTATTCTGACGGAGCTGGTTGATTGTGTCAAGCGGGTCTGCGTCGAAGGTTCTGACGTCCCGGTGCCATTGCCATTAGTGTGGCATCACGGGCACTAGGGTTGTTCATGTTCGTCTGATGAAGTACCGAGGCTACTCCTTTGCTACTGTACCGTACAGTAAGTGAAATCCGCGGACAGAAAGCTCTATTCCCGCGATGAAGTTCAATGCAAGTATACTTTAGCGAGCGCTAGCGGAGTTGAGGTTTAGTTTGATGAGCTACCCCTCGAGAGGGGGTGGTGGGGGCGTTTCGTTGGATGATAACATACCTCGTATCCAGTGTCCTTTTTACGCAGCTGTTTACCATGTCCATCTCCATCCAGAGTTGTCATTGGAATCGGGCCATCCAAACAGATGAGAATCCATTGCATTGCATCGCATCCCCACATCAGCATCAGCTGAGTCAGCAACATTTCCTCGTTGGATTCTGTTGCTCCTTTTGGGCGAAGAGGTGTGTTGTGATCGAGACTGGCTGGGCGCAAGGCGGGACCCGCATGACGCTCTCTGCAGATGCAGATACAGAGCCAGGAAGACAGAAATAGCTTGCACGCCATCCATGGACGAGCATGAGTGACAGGCCCATAAGATCCGTCCCTTCAGATGCAGGCAACCCTGATTCCCTGAGTGAAGCCAGGGCCACCAGGCTACCAGGCTACCAGGCCAGGACAAGTCCGGGGGTCTGAGCCCAAGCCCAAGCCAATCACGACGCCTGTGCCCGTGCTGGTGCTGTGAAAACCATCTGAAGTTTTTAGTGTGCCGAGCTCCTGGCCGCCGCTACCGTGGACTACAGTGCTGGTACGGTGGACACACAGTCTGTATTTATGTCGCCAGAGTTGGTCGTTGCTGACTGAGCAACCCCGCGATATCGACATCTGGGAGCCTCGGGAGATGAGATATACAGTGTGTTACGAGGGCAGTGCATGCATCGCTGGTTCTAATTGACTGTGGTTTTCCTGCCAAATCCATCTCCTCAGGATGACGACTTGAAGGCTCGGCTCCGTCAGTGCAGCGCAGAGATTGAGAATCATGCCATGGCATGTCAGCTGGATCTTCACGGGATGTTCATGACGACTGCGACGATGACAATTTCCTATGATGTCTTGTGGTGACTATTGGCTCTCGCCTGGGGGTTTGATTTACTGTACTTTTACAAATGCTGCCGCGCGCTCTGGCTTCCGCTTCCTGCGTCAGAGATTTGCCTCTTGAGCCGGCACCTCAGGGACCCGAGTCGGGGTCGGCAGTAGCAGGAACGCCATTCGTTGGCGGGAGAGGATGTGCGGAAAAGTGATGTACGAAGTACACGGAGTATGCAAGTTACGCAACCGTCGAGGACGGGAGACGCTCAAGTGCCAAGGCTTGAATGGCTGCCATTGAGTCTCCGTATCGCGTATCGAGCATCGAGTATTGTGCTTTCTCTGCCTTTCTCTCTTTCTTTCGCTCTCGTCTCTGGCTCGCCCGAGGGACTGTCAAAAGCCGGACCCTCCGTGATAGCCCATCGACCAGCTCCCGATTGGGGTGCGAGTGTCAACCATGCGGGCTGAAAGAAGACTTGCTGTGCTTGCTGTGCTTGCTGTGCTTGCTGTGAGGTGGTGATGTTGCCTCTCCACGCACCTCACACTACCGTGCCGTATTGCAAGTCCCTTCCCAGGGTGGGATTGCTGTCGAACAGTGCTGTTCAACCGTCTGCTCCAAAGCATCCTTGCGCGTACCTGAGCGATTCCGGCTCCGTACGGGATGGATCAGTGTGACGCCACCCCACCCAGAGGAAGCCTAGGTCCAGGTTGCTAGGTTGATGTTCCTAGGGCCTACCCTTGATAGGCAGTGTACTGTGTGCTGCAGACTGCAGTGGAAAAAGGGGGGTGACTGAGCCACGACGTGGTCTCGCTAAAGCAGCAGCAACGAGAGTTCACCAGTCCACTCATGATCCGCCAAACAAGCTCAGAGGAGCGAGGAACGAGAGCTTCTCATCGCGATCCACCCAGCGCCCTCGGAGTCGGAGGAAAGAGTCAAGAGCAAGACGACTCAGGCGGCGAGGGGAGGGGCTCTCTCGCGTACGAAGTACAGTACTGTCGGCTTGCCTAGTCTGTTGTANAGTCAAGAGCAAGACGACTCAGGCGGCGAGGGGAGGGGCTCTCTCGCGTACGAAGTACAGTACTGTCGGCTTGCCTAGTCTGTTGTACGGAGTACTAGAAGTACTACTACGAAGTCCTTCGAAGTAGCCGTGGATCGTGACACGATCCACGGATGGCACCGTCCACTTTGACCAGCCGCTGGAGCTACCGGGAGAGCTGTCTCGGTCTCGGTCTCTGTCTCTGCTTCCAAATGCTGAAGTCTGATCTCGACGACGGAGTCCTTCGACCGCAATCCGTACTCCTCTCCTGTCACGGAACTGGAACCAGCACATTCACACTGCCGCGGAATGCCTCTAGCGGGAGAAGCACATCAATAGCAGGTTCCAGGGGCCGCTGGCGTAGTGCAAGAGTTGGGCCTGAGTTTAGTTAGTGGTGGTGGTGGTGGAAGGGGTCCTGTCCCATCCAATAGGCACCGCCCGTTCGGAGCCGGGGGGGGGTGCAGCGCGACGGCGTAGAGCCAAGGCAGCAGTTTAAGAGCACATCCATGGTAGCCAAGCTTCCGGGTCATTTGGGATGGATCATGGATCAGTACTGCTGGTAGAAATACTTCGTAGAAGTACGGAGTATCAGATGGATGGAGGAGACTTCAGTCTTCAACAGACCATGTCGGGACCGTCGAGTCGTCGAGTCGTCCAGTCGTCGAGTCGTCGAGTCGTCGAGTCGTCGAGTCGTCCAGTCGTCCAGTCGTCCAGTCGTCCAGTCGTCCAGTCGTCCAGTCGTCCAGGTGCTGCAGTGAAGGCGCACGCTGCTTTAGGGGGGCCCTTGAACGCCATGTTCAGGGATACCACGCGCCGGACCGCTGAAAAACAGTGCACCCTTCGGTCCCTTCACAGCACAGCACAGAACCCTCACATTTCCACCTCACTTCGCCCTGGCCCTCACCCCTCCACTTGCACCCCCTCCAAGGCCCCCCTACCCGTAACTCTCCAACCCTCCAACCCTTCCCCCAGGCAGGATGTAGCTACAGGCCCCTCCCGGCCCCTACAGCGAGAAGCCCTGAACTGAACATACTCTGGCCAAGCCACGCCAGCGGTGACGGTGGTCGACGGAATGGTCCAAGATTTGCNCAACCCTTCCCCCAGGCAGGATGTAGCTACAGGCCCCTCCCGGCCCCTACAGCGAGAAGCCCTGAACTGAACATACTCTGGCCAAGCCACGCCAGCGGTGACGGTGGTCGACGGAATGGTCCAAGATTTGCCATGACCGTCCCATCTCCAGGTGCATCTGTAGCCAGACCTACATCGACTGCCATGGCGAAGGCGATGGCGATGGCCATACACACTGTGTAGACACTGATGGCCCCATACTACCTATATCCCTACTACCCATACCATACTACCATCCTACCTATACGCATCCTGCCCCTACTACCCACTACCCACTGCCTATATCCATACTTCTACTTCTATCACCCATCCCACCCCTCCCATACCTGCCCCAAACAAGTAGTTGTCTCTAAGAAAACAAACCGTCGCTTGTTGCTCCTTTTCTGCTCGTCGCTCGCTCGCTTCTGCTCCTCCACCTCCTCCTCCTCCCCCACCTCGACTCGTCAAACCACTCACATCGCATCCAGTGTCTATCTCATTTAAAGTCCACTCCACCTCCCGCACCGCACGGCTTTGGTTGTGCACCCCCTCTACAAAAGTACCTAGCCAATTCCAGTGGTCCAGCGCCCAGTACCCACTGAGTAAAAAGTCCGGGATCCAACCCAAGTCCAGTCCCACTCGCAGTTCCAGTCCCCAGCATCTGCCGCCAACGTCAAGCGCTACTTTCCGTGGGTTCATGTTCCTCCCCTTCCTTTAACACCTCCACACCTCCCGCGTAACCACTTCACCCTCATTTGCCTCAACTCCTTTGACTCTTGTTCCAACAGTTCACCCTTTGCTCCTTACTTCCAGCTTGTCCGAGGCAGTCAAGTCAATCATACAATTATTTTTCCCATCCCAGCAATCCTACGCTTTTCCACTTCCTGTTCGCCTGGTTGGTCGCCATCTCGACTTTCACTACCGAGGAGACTCAACTGGAATCGCCAGCATCTGATCTTGCACTTTGGCATTTTCTCTTACCATAATAATAGCCTTTCTAATTTTGACCCTTCATCTGTTCTTTTCACATAATACCGAGGATCATTTATTCACCATTCACCAACGCGGTTTCGTTCCTCGGACGACCGGTCCTGACATCGATACTCGACTCTTGCAGCTACAACCGCACTCAGCTCCACCCAACTTATACCCCCGCCGATTCCCAATCGGCTTTGTTGGGACTCGGAGCTTCGAGAGCGTGTGGCACTTTCAGATCCTCGACAGGCTCGATCCCTTCTTGAAATTGGTTCGACGATGCCGAATATGGGGTATCTCGATCCCTCCTACCACCAGTATCACGACCAGATGAATACCATGTCGCCATACGAAGCTCAAATGCACAACTATATGACCCAGCAAAATTCCTCCATGATGACGATGCCTCCAGCCAAAACTAATGAGACGAAACCCCGGCTAGGGAAGGACGAGGTGGATATTCTGGAGCGGGAGTTCAAAAAGAACCCCAAACCAACAACTCAGGTGAAGAGGGGATTCGCCGAGGATATGGGTGTTGATTTGGCACGCATCAATGTATGTTAGACTACCGTGACGAACCCGATCATCAGACTGACAAGAAACAGAATTGGTTCCAGAATCGACGAGCGAAGCGTAAGCAAGAGAAGAAGCAGGAAGCGTATGAGGCGGGACAGGCACAAGAGGCTCTGGGGTTCTCAGATAATGCCTCATCACCAGACTTTTTTCACTCAAACGGTTACTATAATGATATTCAACAACAACCGGCCTCATTTTCACTTTTGGCTGGCCACCCACCACCACCACCACCACCCGTCGCCTCATACAATCCACAATATGCTGATCCTTCCGGGGCTAGTATGGAGTCGCTTCATCGATCGATGGCTCAGGCCGCTTCTCACCACGACTTTCACAATAACAACTTCTTGGAACACAATGATTCAAGGTTGAACTTCGGTGATTCGTACCTTCACGATTCACCTCGTGGTGATCGTGCACAGTTCCCAGCTCCTGACAACGTCGTCTCACATTTCGAAAACAATGAAAGTTACTCGTTTCCAACGACTCTTGCCAATGGCATGTATAGCAGCTCGCCTCAATCATTCCATGACGTCGAATCGTCTCCAGTCCAGACGACCAACCAAACTCCAACACCATATAGCTATTCAAATTCTTCTGGGTCCGACTCGACCGGCTCACAAACACTTTCCCATTTCCCTTCACAACTATTATCTCAGAGTCATGATGGACTTCCGGCTCTGATGGCCGATTCCAGCGATACCCAAAGTCCCGAAGAAAGTAGCGAGTCTCACGTCTCACTTGATTTCAAGTATGATGTGACTGCATCTCAAGACCATGAAATGTCGTCTCCACCAGCTCCATCCATTCCCTTCAAAGCGTCAGCTCCAATGGACATAGCATCTCGTCGAAAAAAGGTGCACGTGAAGCCGGCAGCCTTGGCTGCGGAAACTCTCCGTAACCGACCATCGATGGGACCCAGAACCGTGTCTAATGCTGATGGATTCCGTCGGGGTGTGGATAGTCCAATGGGCTCACCAATGCGGCGAATTGTATCAGCTGGTGGCAATAGAAATAACACCATCTCTGGTCGAATATGCAAACCCGGTGTCGAGTCCGCTCAACGATCACCGATCAACCTGGGAGGCTTCTCTGATGCGGGAGCGTTCATGGAACACAACTTTCGTAGCATTCGCAACCCACCTAGTCTGACAGCTCTCTCATCTCTCAACAGCAGTCTCGCACCACCAACTCCCATGTCTCCACGCGAGAGAGAGATGACACTTAGAAAGGAAAGCGCCCGATCGACAGCCTCTCCCCACGAGGGAAGCATGAACTTCGTCTTCAACAACAACCTTCCCAGCTGTTTCACCAGCCTCGACAGCGACCAGAACCTCGCCTCCCCTCCAGAGACACCCCACGCCCACCTCATCCTCCAACAGCCCCCCACGGGTTGGCCCTCGGCTCTTGACTACCCGGACAAACAATGGTCCTACGACGTCTCCGACGAACCCCTCTACACGCCCGCTCACGACAACTTCCCCTTGGAGCTCCAAATGCCCCAACCCACCTACCTCTCCACAATGAGCCAGCCCGTGACCCCGGCCTTTGGCCACTTCCACCCGGCCCTCATCTTTGGCGCTGGCACCGAGTCGCCTCGCTTCAAGGAGAGTCCCCAGTACGCGCTTCCTACGCAGGGTGGTGCGGAATACACCTTCCCGGACGCAGCCCAGAGGTTTGGAATTGGCATGGGGATGGGGACGTTGACGAGTCCGTTGTCGAAGCAGAAGACTTTTCAGTTTAGTAATACTACAGCCGCGGATTTTTCGGAGAAGTGAGGTTTTGTGTGTGAGAGTAAGATAGTTGGAGTGTGTGTGTGTGTGTGTTTAATGGGAATGGAAGGGGGTTCTTAAAAGGAAGGGGGAGGGGGTCATTGCATTTTTCTTGGTTGGGAGGGAGGGATGGATGGTGTTTAATTGTTCTTTTTATTTGGAAAAGATCTTTGGATTGGATTGGAGTTACTTGATGCACAGCACAGCACCGTGTGGGATTTTTGTGATGGGGGCGTTTTTTACATTATACTTTTGTTGTTGTTTACAAAAAGACTTGTTTTCTTTCTATTCTTTTTTATTTATTTTTTTCATTTCCTTTTCTTTTAAGATACAGCAGACAGACAGAAAGATTCTTTTTTTTGGGGGAGTGGGAGTGGGAGGAGAAGGAGAAGGGGAAGAAAACGCTCTTGCTCTTCTATGGGCTGGCTATACCCGATGAGATTCTGGAGGAACCTTGTCAATATTTTATATATATATTTTTTTTTGGGGGGTAGTGTATGAGTAGTTTGGTGGTTGGTTAATTTATTAATTAATTGATAAGTGTATGTATGTGTGTGTGTGGCTTTGGTGTGTTTATGTTTATGTTATTGTAATGTTCTCTTTCTGTCCCTTTTTTGGACTCATTGACTCATGTAGATAGATGGATGGAATGTGGATAGATACGTAACATCAAGAGTAGTCTAAAAGAGGTTTTTGCTTCTGGTTGGTTTGATGGTTGGTTGGATGGTTGGTTGGTTGGTTGGTTGGTTGGTTGGATAGCTATCTAGTTGATTGGTTGATAGTTGTGATGTTTGGTGTTCAGTGTATTGGTACAGTACTTGTTGTTGGACGTTGTCGTCACATTCAGTAACGACCACTAACTATGTCCATGTCCATGTCCATCTCCTAACCTAAGCGATTTTCGTGGCTTGAGACCTAATGCGTCCGATGGATGGATGGATGAAGGCTTGGAATTTTGACTTTGAATGTGGCGTGGCTTTTCTTTCAGGTTAGGCGAGATGGGGATTCAGCTCCGTCCGTCTCTTTGTCTACTAATTGTTTGATTTGTGATGGTGATTGTGATTGTGATTGTGAGGATGATTACTGATGGATAAGGGACTGGTACTGGTACTGGTACTGTACTATTGAGTGAACCTAACCTTTGATGTAGGAGGGGTTGGTTGAGTTTGGGTGCGGTGTATGTGTAGGTTTGTGGGCTGGCTAGTGGTAGGGTAGGTAGGTATGCTAGAAGTGGGAATTTGGAGGGGTGATACTAGGTAGGTAGGAGAACGAGAGGTATTTGGAATTCTTGGAGGGGAGTGATTAGTGATTACTCTTTTTTTTTCAATTCTTTTTTGAATGGTTGTGTTATGTTGTTTTTATTTCATTTTTAATTGATGTTAAGGTATAGGGTCGTCATTTATATCCAGGTACATACATGTACAGTACCTACATAATCACGCTAGTCAACGTCAAGACCCCGCAATCTACCTACTGTAACGAGCTGAGCCGATTGTATGCGAATGGTGGGGGAAAAAGCTTGATAAGAGCTATCGTACTAGAAGCTCCCCCAACATCCAATTCAACCAACCTTCTTCCATACCACAACACCACATCTGCCATCCACGAATTGACAATTATTCAAGTCAGGTACGCGATCCATTGCGTCGTTATTTGGGTCTCCCCTTTTTTCTATTTGGTCGTTTGCGAATTTTCTCTTCGTCCCGATTCTACGATACTTTGATATCCCCACCCCTGATATATACCACCAGTCTAGCACGCACGCGTTTCGCTTTGGTCTCCATGATGGCGACGGCTAAGAATTTAAGGGTTCTTTCTGAGACTTGTTTATACAAACTCCCACGAAATCCTTCGATTGGGACGAGGAAGATGTCGACTCTTGCGAGCTTCAAGATTCCTAAGGTGGTGAATGAGGTGAATGTAAGTTGTTCTTCTGGTTGCATGTGGGGTTGTGGTATGGATGATGGTGGGGGATTGCGGGGTAGATTGGAATGTGAATGTGAATGTGAATGTGAATGCTAATTTGAAGGGGGTAGCATCATTATGCAAAGGGTTCTGCGCAGAGAGAGGGATTGAATAAGGCTTTGGAGGGATTGCAGAAGAAAGCTCCATTGGAGGTTCCCATTGTTGTTGGGGGGAAGGAGGTAAGTTTTGGAAATCTATGATGCCATTGCGTGGTGGTTTTGTAGAATTACAATTTGCTAACTAACGAATGATTAGATCAAAACCTCCAAGATTCTTACACAACAAAATCCTTCAAATCACTCTTCTACCATCGCCTCTTACTCTAATGCCTCTCCTTCCGATGTCTCTGCTGCTATTGATGCAGCACTGGCCGCAAAACCAGCATGGGAATCCCTCCCTTTCTCCGATCGAGCCGCCATCTTCCTCAAGGCTGCAGATTTGATTGCTGGAAAATACAGATATGAAATCATGGCCGCAACCATGTTGGGACAGGGAAAGAACGCATGGCAAGCCGAGATCGATTCCGCTGCTGAATTGGTAGATTTCCTCCGTTTCAACGTTCAGTACGCCGAGGAATTGTATGCTCAACAACCTGCTCATAACGCTCCCGGTGTCTGGAACAGAGTTGAGTATCGTCCTTTGGAGGGATTTGTTTATGCGGTTACGCCATTCAATTTCACTGCTATTGCGGGAAATTTACCGGGTGCTCCGGCCTTGATGGGTAATGTGGTTGTTTGGAAACCATCGGATTCTGCGATTGCTTCTAATTGGTTGCTTTACAATATCCTTCTTGAAGCCGGTCTGCCCAAGAATGTCATCCAATTCGTTCCTGGAAATCCGGAAGAAGTTACAAAGGTCGTTCTGGCACACAAGAAACTCGCTGCTCTGCACTACACTGGAAGTACCGCTGTTTTCCGAAAGTTGTATGGAGGAATTGCTACTGGTGTTGCCGAGGGCAGGTATCAGGGATACCCACGAATCGTTGGCGAGACAGGAGGAAAGAACTTTCACTTAATCCACTCCTCGGCCGATATCGAAAATGCAGCTATTCAAACCGTTCGCGGTGCCTTCGAATACCAAGGTCAAAAATGTAGTGCCACATCCCGAGCATACATTCCCAAATCCGTATGGCCACAATTCAAAGAGAAACTCGTCGCCGAAACATCAGCTCTTAAAATTGGTGTCCCATCTGATCATCAAAACTTCATCGGTCCAGTCATCCATGCAGCATCCTTCAACAAACTCTCCCGCGTAATCGAAGACGCAAAGAATGACAAAGAACTCACTCTCATCGCTGGTGGAAAACACGACAACTCAAAGGGCTACTTCATCCACCCAACCATCTACCAAACCACCACCCCCTCTCATCCCCTCCTCTCCACCGAACTCTTCGGCCCCATCCTAACATGCTACGTCTACGACAACACCAGCGATCCCGTCGGCGCATTCACCAAAGCCTGTGAGCTCGTCGGTTCAACCTCCGAGTACGGACTCACCGGCTCCATTTTCGCAGCTGATCGCGCGGCTATTCGCTACGCGGAGGATGCGTTGCGGAATTCGGCGGGCAACTTTTATATCAATTGTAAGAGTACGGGAGCGGTGGTGGGACAGCAGCCGTTTGGAGGCGCGAGAGCGAGTGGGACGAATGATAAGGCAGGGAGTATTAATTTGATGACGAGGTTTGTTAGTATGCGGAGTTTGAAGGAGGAGTTTGTTGTTACGAGTAAGGTTGAGTATCCTAGTAATGAGGTTTAAGGGGGGATTGCTTTTGAGAGATGGAATTGGGACTGGGATGGAAGGGAGTCTGGATGGATGGGGATGGTGGGGTTAAATTGATATTGATGCGGGGTTTATTTTTTTTCTCTTTGCTTTGGCTTTTTAGTGGGTGTGGAAGGGAGGGAGAATTCGTGCTTTGAGGGATAAGGGGGGGGTGGGGGAATGAGATGTTCTTATAGGGATTCACAATTTGCCGTTTGTGAAAGTACAAAAGTTGATTGATTCGTTGGTTGGTACATAGCGTGAATGAGATAAGAGTCTTCTTCTCATTCCCTGTTTTCTGCACTACCGTACCGGTAATTTTCAATCCCTTTCCATATTAATATTGGTCTCCTATACATACGGGTTGGACTACTAATACTCTTTGATGCTTTGGTGCCTCGGCAGTATTCTGTATTCAAAGGGCTTGGAATTTGTTTTTGTGGCATGGGTTCGAGTGCTGCTAGAGACTCGAGAGAGTGAGTGATGGAGGTATTTGGTATATATTGAGAAGTTGAGAGTATAGATGGGAAGGGGGAGGTATGTGTATAGACTTGGGTTTGATGGAGTGGAGTGGAGTGGATTAGGGGTTTGAGTTTTTTAAGTGTGTTTGAGTGGAGGAAGTTGTGGAGTTATTTTGTTGATTTTGAGGTTGATATGTTGTTGCCTTTTTTGAGGGATGGATGGATGGATGGGTGATGGGTGATGGGTGATGGGTAAGATTACTGGATAGTGTACTGTGTAGATGGGATTATGGGTTTGTGGGTTGTTGGGGTGGGGAAGAGGGGAAGAGGGGAAGAGGGGGGGGAAGAGGGGGATTGGGTTATCTGATTTTTATGATTTTNTTGGCGGGAGGTTGAAGGGGGGGAGGTTATCTCAGTTTCAGACCCTCCTTATAAAGGCTTCAAGTGGTGGCCTCCCCCCCACGTGATTCACCCGCTCCCACCCGACCACCCAGGCCCGCAGCCGACGCCCGGCCCGCGCATAACGCCCCCAAGCCACCCACCACCACGAGCAGCCTGGCTTGATGGCCGTTTCGGGGGGTGAGCTGTGATTGGTTGGGGGCTGTCGGGGTGGGGGAGGATCGGATTGGGGCGGGGGAAAATCGGCCATGTGACCCAGCGGCTGAGGGCTGAGATAAGGGGGAGGTTGGAAGGTGTAAGGGATTGAGATAATTTTTTTCTTTTTTTTTTCAAAAAATCTTTTCTTTCTTTTTGTTTTGGATCATTTAGATATGTAGAGCGTAAGTACCTGGTGGTACCTATAGATACTGTAAAGTACCTTTCTGATTTAAGTAAGCTTACCTACGGGTGTACAGTACCTTTCGGACTACGTAGGCGCACCAGGGTGTGTAGTATAGTCAAGAGAGGAAGGAATCTTAATAAGAGTTTGTTGTTTTTGGATATCTGACTACAGCATTTCGACATCTAGAATTCTATTCCATACCAGCCCCCTTATTCTAGCCGTAGTATTCTCGCTGTTATAGTCTAGATATCAGTAAGAAAGAAAGAAAGGTTTGGAAATTAGAGGGGAAAGCAGGAAGTAGTCAGTAGTAAGTAGCAAGTAATTATTAGCGTAATACATACATGCCTTGCTTAGCTTCTTTTAAAAGGTGTATCCAAGGGCTAACTAATCAAGCGAGGGCACGTACAACCAAAACATCTCACTGCTTTTCTCCCTCTTTCTCTCTTGATAATATACCAAGGCCCGGCCTTGCCCCTATGCGATAGTGAGGATACGATAGTATGGATAGGGCGAAAGTGAGGGGATATGTAGAAAAGGTGGCGAGCTCACGAGTCTGATCGAAATGAGGTGGGGGTCTGGGGGTATTGGCATAATAGTGATAGCAGTAGTAGATAAGATATAACGTTTGCGATTTACAATTATCTCGTTATTGATCAAAATATATGGATGGGATGCCGTACGTACATAAAGATACATCCCCTTAATTCCGAAATCCAATCTTATTCGCTGAACGCAATCTACAAATTCCGTCACGCCCATCAAAAAACCACAATTCATTTCCACAACAAGAAAAGTTCAAAACAAAACTATCACTATACTCTCTACAACCACTTTCTTATTAACATCCACTAACCCAATTAAAAAAAATGCTTAACACTCAACCCTCCAAAACTCAAAGCAAGCCCTTCCACAAAATCTACATAACCTACAACCCACTAGTCCTCTATTGTCTGTGGAGCTCATACCCCAATATCAAGAATACCTTCTACACCTACGAGAACCTACTAACGCTACACATTTCCCGCTTGCCTTCCTTTACAATATCTATACTGTACCTAGCTATAACAGGTGAGCGAACTCGGAAATTACAAGGCTATTCCGGAGTGCAGAATGAAACCAAAGTCTTTGAGTAGGGAGTATTAACCCGGAACCGGGGTTACTCGGCTATGAGTAAATAACCTTAAAACTCGTGACTTCAAGGCGGGAGTAGCGTTTGAAATTAGTCGAGTAGAGTAGTACTCGCGTCTTACTTTAGTAGTTATGTGATTTGTTAGATACCTACTCTAGTAGAAATAAACCAAGGAAAGCTAAAATTCAAGTAGTTCCTTCTCGCCAAAGATTATAGAGAAAAGGAAAGTAAAAAATCAACCCCTTTTCCCAGCCCTGAACAAAGTCTCGCCTAATTCACCCCCTTCTATGGAGAAAAATATTCCCAATGTATGAAAAAAGAACGAGAATTCGCTGTCGGAAAATATCTCAATGAGTTTTCACAAAAGGCTGACTACAAGATCAATGGATATCGTCCGCCTCATTCATCGTCCATGCCAATTTCTTCTTCTCCATAATATACCATTTCCCCCGTTCTCCGCCCAGACTCAAATACTGGGTTACCAAAAGAAGACTCCAAAACACCATGCAAATGATGATAAACCACAAATGCAACATATTAATCATACAACCGCAGGTCCGGAATCCCTCCTCCACCCCTTCGATCTCATGTTCTCCTCAATTGCCCTCCAAACCCCTTCCACAATCTCCCGATCCCTCCACCGACTCGCCGCTCCTGCCCCTTGACTCCATTTCTCAACCTGCGCACTCCAAACTCCCCGTCCCCAGCCCTTAATCGTGACAGGTAACTGGTCGCCTCTCCATCCAAGATACACACCAAGCGTATGTCTGAACAGCTCCGTGGGTTCCTGCCATTTATACGATTTGAATTGCCATTGCTGGCCAGTCGTGAAGACAGCCACAACACGCGCCCAGTACTCGGGCTTGAACTGCTCCGGAGTGTCGACGATGATGAATCTAATGGCCTTATTAGGGTCGATGGAAGGCATGTGGCGCATTATATGGAGGAGAGTGGCGGATGAGCTGGATGTTGAATTTGAGGACTCTGGTGGTACGTAGACACCACCCTCGAGGAAGGACTTGATGTTTGACATACGGAGTAATGAAGATGCTGAAGGTGAAAGGAGGATGATGGGGTCGGGCCGTTTCATGGGGACCTTTGGATGAGTTGCCAAAGTTGGGTTTTTGGCTGACGCTTGAGCTGCTTTTCTGGCGTTAAAAGGTACGGCTAGTTTGCGGACGTGGGAGAAGTCCTGAGAGAAATGGAGTTAGTATTATATTCCTAACGAGGAAAAATTGTCAACTTACAGTTGGCTTTATCCCCCGCAGCACACTATTCCGATCGCCCATCCGTCTCTCCCCATTATAAATCTCCGCCAATCTTGGATCAATACTCCTTCCTTGCCTTCCAGCAGCACCACTAGTAACAGGAGCAATTCCACCCGCAGCTCCAGAAGCGACCTGGGCAGAAGCCGCTGCCGCAGCAGAATCCGATGGTAAAGATTTGATGTATTCACTTTCCTCCGTAGCACCCTCCAAATATGTAGTCAAATCAATTCTTTCCACATATCCCAAGTTCTGTACCTGTCCACCCGTAACTCCATTAGCTGCCAGTTCCGCATTTAGAGCTTGCACCGCGGTCTTGTATTCTGGAGGGGTTGTATCTTTCTTCAGCCATGCGAAATAGATACTTCGAAGATCGACGGGTTTATTTTTGAAGATGAAGCGCGTGGGTGTTGTGAGAGGTAGAGAGAGTTGGCTCGGAGATGTGAAATGCAAAAATGATGCTTTTGCTAAGCTCAAGTCTACAGACGAGGCTGATGTCGCATCTGCAGTTGTGGTTGGTAGAATTGTGCTTTCGGACGCGATCGATTGACGAAGCAGGAGAAGGGGATCTTGTTCGGAGGAGGCCATTATGGATGGTCAATGCGATACGACGTGGTGTTAAGTTGTTGAGTTGTTGAGTTGGAGACTTGAAAGTCAAAGGGCTTTATGGGAATAGCTGCGACGCTCTTTCCAGGTGGCCAGGGTCTCGCACGTGATACCATACTTGGCGCTTACCAAATTGGGGTGAAGTGGGTCTGTATGTTTTTGTCGCTTAGTCGTGGCGAACATACATTAATTGAAAACTCATCAACTCAAATTGCTAAAAGAATTATAACCTTACCATCAAGAGCTAGGCCAACAAGTTTCACTTCACTTCTCATTGAGTTGCCAGCCAGTTCATCAATATAAAAGTGAAGAACAGGAGTCAAGAGTCAACATTCTTGTTCTAGGAGTCGAGGACCAAGTCTCCTATTCGCACATCGTCACACCAACCAAGACAAACCAATCAAGCGATTCTAATTCACATTTCACTTCTAACCTCCCTAATCGCACGCCCATGATAAACACAAATTCCCGTCCCACCACTTTTATGCTTAGGATTTTTAGGGCACAAAGGACCGCTGGGAAGATGTTCTGGTATCTCAAGTTCAAACTTTCCCGTGGCGAGCTCCCCATAGCCGGGCCCTTCCACCTTTCTCTTATGTCTTAGACCATTACTACGTTTGATTCCAGTGAATGGTAGACGAGATCCGGGTGTTGAGATGGGTGACCCAGAAGTGTTTGTTGGCACTTGCTGTTCGGGGCCATCGATGGATGGACTGAGACGTGGGCTAAAGTCCGGGCTGAGAGTGTTATTGTCGTAGAAGAACCCTCGAGGTGGGGGAATTGTGGGAGGCGTCCCAGGAGTCATGGGAGGTGTTTTGATACGTGTCGCTTCCTGGGGTGATACACGTTAGTCAGTCATGAGCTAATTGCCAGCTGATTTAGGCCCCAAAACTTTTAACATAAGATACGTACTGAAGGTAAGAATGTGTCTTTTTTTGGGTTCAAGGGGTCAACTAAAGATCCAGTCAGCAACTTAAGCCCAACATTATTTCATTGATCATTTCATGAGGAAAAGTTTCTTACACTTCAACAAGGACTTCGTTGTCGACCTATCAGAAGCCGAAGCAGGACTGGCTGCCGGAGATTTCCCCATCAATATTTTGTGTACAGAACTCGACACCGACCACATAGATTCATTAGATTCATTGGATTGTCTACGATGCCAAGGGGCAAGACCACGACGTCGTCTGGTTTCCGGTGAGGTGGGAGTTCGACTAGTAAATGTTCTGCGCGGTGGGGTGTGGATTTGTTGTAATTCAAGAAGTTCTTTCCTGAATTTCTCCAACTGCGTTGAAGTGCCCTCGAGCAACATTGTTGTCCGGGATCTAGGACATTTGGAAGAAATCTTTTCGGATTCCGCAGAACCAGAGGGCTTTCCAAGTCAGCGAAGCTAACAGAAGGAAGGCATTTCAAGTATCAATCTTACAGTCTGCTTTCTGCGAAGAATCTTTGACTCGATAGTTCTCTTTGTCTTGTCATATATCCCCTCCTTATCCGCAGACGATAGCCGACTTTTCTTCCCAGATTTTACTATCGTCGCAGTCAAGCTTTTCCTGGACATAGTACTCTCTCTCCTCGAGTTCGCCGTCACGCTTCCAATCTTGATTTGAGGAATCAAAGTGGGAGAAATATCCTCTGACTGGTCATCCTTTCTGTTGAACCACTTCTGAAATGAAGTCTGCTTCTCAGAGGTCGAAAACAACTCTTTTCTCTCTCGTTCAGCCCAGTAACCTTCGGGAAACCAAACCCATTCCATGCCCTCCTTGGCCGGTCTTGGTGGATCGGTAAAATTCGACAACGATGGCGATGGCCCACAAGGTTTTCTGATAGTATCCGAAGAATTGTTGTGTACCTTCTCATTCCAATCTGAGATGTCCCCCCGCCTCCTTTTGCCCAAACCAGGCTTCTCCCGCCCGTCTTCTGGTTTTTCTCTCTCTATTTCCGTCTCATTTCCATTTCCATCCCATTCCTGAAGAGAACTTCCATTGTACGCAGCCCGCCTGTGCAAAGATCTTGGCCTGGGAAGTCCAAAAGGCGAAACCTCGCTCTCACTGGTATTCGTTCCGGTACCCTGACTAGTCGGTGTCTGTTTGGAGAAGAAATAGGCGAGGTCATCCGAGTCAATATATCCGGAGCGATTTAGAGCTCTGGGGCCTTCAGGCTTTGAAGGTGTTCCTTTGGATGGTGTTTGGACTTGGGACGAGGTACTTTTCATATTCGCGATGATATCCGTCTTGGCCGGGTTTGGTCCTCCAGAATGAGAACATGAAGATGGATTTGTATATACAGTTGGATGAGATTTGTTTTCATAGGGCTTAATAAGAATTGTTCATGTGGCAGTATGATACTGCTGGTTTTAGGAGTGGTGAAGAGTTAAGACTGTGCTTGGAGTAGCTAGATGTAGTGTGGCACTTGTATAGAAGGAAGGAACGGACCTACGAATGTTGTCATTATCCCAAGCTTCACGCATACCTGAATTGAGTTTCTATTTTTATAGTCCACAAGTATTTTGTATCAGCGAAGCAGGTACGGAGGAGGACTGAACAAGCTCTTACCTCCATCGTGCTTTCCATGCTCAGTATCGGTGAGTACCCTTTTTCTCCAACAAATATTTCCAGGTGGACCCAGTACAGATGTGCCACCGATTGCTCGCAGTGAGTCTCTAGCTAACACTTTCTAGAGGTTCCAAAAATTCTCGAAGAACAGAGCTGAAGCATCCGTCAACTCAAAAGATTGTGGAACCACCTTCTCAGCATTAAGACCAATAGCATCTTTTCCCCAACACATCAAATGAATACCGCGATCAAAGGGTACCAAGAAATCAAGGTAACACTCCAACATAGTGCATACCACATATACCAGCATGGCGCCCCCATGGCAACTTTAAGAAGAAGTTGTTGCGACCCATCACCCATCTTGCCCTCGAGCCCCCCAATCTGAGTATTGCAAACTTCCAAACACCACCAAATAAAAGGAGCAGATCCCAGATGTCTCAAAATCCCTCCATGTTTCTGCCACATTTGCGAGCAGCTCCTTCGTCACAAGTGTACTTGTACTCAAGCATACAAAAGTTTGAGTAGCATGCTTGGACCCAAATGTCACTCGCTTCTCTCATCAACTCTTGAAACCTAGATCAAGTGAAAAAGAGGATTGAGACTTGGAAAACTGGAAGATTTTGATATATCTGGACTTTTTGTGTTGCAAAAGGGGGCGGTATGTATAAACAATGATATATGGTTGGAATAAAAGAGAGGAACTTTTTGAAGTGTTTTGGGAACTTGAAAACATACAGAATTGCTAGAAGTATCGAGTAGTTTTCCTAAGAAGTGGAAAAAGGCTTGAACTTCCAAGAAAAGGAGACTGAGGAAAATATAAATGAGAGAATGGTACTGTCAAAGGACAATAACTTTTGTCTTAGTACGAATTGCAATTATCAAAAATCAACCTTCTGATTGTTGCCAGCGGAAATTCTGGCTGCGAGAAGTGAGGATATACTTTGACCAAAGGGCCATCAACAACATTGTACGACTCGATCAAATTCCCGGCGAAATCGGATTCGCAGGAAAACTGACGGCACTTGCCAATCATACCTAGACATCATTAAAAAGAAACCAAGAAAATAGTTCTACCTACCTAATTACCAACATATAAAATGAGTCCAATTTACTTGACACCACTCCACGACAACACACATATATCACACTGTATTTAACCACTCCCCCAATGCCAATACACTCACCAACAGCCTCCCAAAAATAATGGCAACACCACCCCTAACAATCCGCAATCTCACATCCACGCCCCTCGAACTAGTCCTCCTCGAACGCTTTGCACCCGTCAGCGAATCCATCACGACCTTCAAAAAACTCACGCGAACTCTCAGCGGCCTCACCAACTTCTCCACACCCGCAACCCCAACATCCGTTCAACTCGCCCAGAAATCCACAAGCTTCACAAACACCACACTCTCGCTCCCCATCGCGCCCTTCACAACACAAGTGACCGATATCGATACACCCCCCGACGAGACGTTGCGGTTAACCTTCCTCGCGTCCGGGCAAAGATACAGACTTACCCTCCCAGCACCCACATCTCGCTCCACAACACTAGTCCCCCTCTCGCCGTCGCCAGCGCACGAGTTCACGAGTGTTTATTTAACAGCTTATTCACATTTATCGATATACTCTTCTGCGAACCTGCAATCATGGATGTCGCACCTCCCCTCCGCGCTTCCCCTCTCCGCGCTCAGTATTCCGGGTACACACAACTCCCCGACATACCGTAAAGCGCTACCCTCCGTCCGCTGCCAAAGCGTCAGCGTGAAAACACAACTAGAAAATGGGATTAGATTTCTAGACATACGGGTGCAGCCCGAGAACGCATATGATGCCAGTAAAGAGGGGTTGGTGTTGGTACATAGTGCCTTTCCCGTTGCGTTGACCGGGACAAAGTATTTTCGCCAACTAGTCGATACAGTCCTCTCCTTTTTGGAAGAGAACCCAACCGAGACGGTGATTATGTCGGTCAAAAGAGAGGGCATTGGACGGGCTACAGACCAGCACTTATCACTCATACTAAAAGAGCACTACGCGCACGATACCACAAGATGGTTTACAGAGAACCGTATCCCAACACTAGGAGAGGCGCGAAGCAAGATTATATTATTGAGACGGTTTGCAACAGATGACAGTCTCAAAGCAGAGAACGACGGCAGAGGATGGGCAGTAGATGCAGAAAGCTGGCCTGACAACACCGCCGACGGCCTCTGCAGCTCGGGCGAAATCCGCGTTCAGGATTTCTATGAGGTCGCAGTGCATACCAACATCACGAAGAAAATCGGATTTTGCGAAGACCATTTAGGTCGAGCGGGACGAGTCATCTATCCCCAGCATCCCCAGTCACAGGCAGAGAACGAGAATGGAACGGGCCGTGAGAAGGGGAAAGAGGTTCCTGATCCTATATTTATGAATTTCCTCAGTGCGTCTAATTTCTGGCGTGCAAATTGCTGGCCTGAAAGGGTGGCGGAGAAGGTTAATCCTTCGATTTTGGAGTTTTTATGTAGAAGACATAATGAGGCTGCGATTCATGCCGAGGGGGAGAAGAGGGAGGTGGGGGATGGGAGTACGGGGGTTGTGGTGTGTGATTGGGTTGGTCTTAATGGGGACTGGGATTTGGTAAGGTGTGTTGTTGGGATGAATGCTAGACTTGAGATAAGATGATATCTCTCTCTCTTTCTCTTTAAGTATATATAGTATATAGACAAAGCGAGACTGATTCTTGGCATATACTTTACTCCCGGGTATACTCTACATAGATCTACAATTAGAACACAAAAGTGTTTTCTAGCTACCTTTTCTCCCCTTAAGATTCTTTTGGAGCTCCCCCAGAACCACCCTTCGCCTCATCCTCCAACATCGTCCTCCGCCCTTCAACTGTAAAATACAAACTTTTTGCAGACCCCTCCAACGTACTCGTTAGACCAGCCCCAAGACTCTGTAACATGTTCACCAACTGGCCTCTCAATCCATCTACACCACCCTCAATACTACCAACCCACTTCGTCCCCTCTATATCGAAAACCTGTCCCTCTACCCGTGCACCCAATAGTAGCAATTTCTGCAGTCCAGTTTGGACTGGTAGATCGTGATACCCCGGATTTGCCTTCCTCGACGGAGCTGGGAATTGCCCTGGGATAGGGGAGAGGATTGAGAGAGCGGCTTTTAGATGCTGCGGTGAGACGGTGGGGAAGGTTAGGACGGCTAGTGGTCCAACGAGGAGGGGCATTAGAGCGTGGGTTTTTTTCATTGTAGCTTGGTGAGCTGCTTCTGATAATGTATGGGTGAGCTCTGGGACTGTAGCAGATGACGGACTCGCTGGGTCCGTAGGATCAGAGGGAGATTTATTCGTCTCTGGTTTATAGAATTCCACAATCTTTAACGCTGAAATGAAGATTCCTGTCTGAATGATTTGTATTTTCACCCCCTCGCCCACATTTCCTTCGACGTGTCCAGCTTTAGCCCGTGTCTCGTCGACTTTTCTCAGGGCTTTATTCAGTTCTCGTCGTATCCCCGTCCATTCTACACTCTTTAAGTTGTTGTGTTGAAAGACGAGCATGAGGGGAGTGGAGCGCAGGAGAGAAGCATATTGACGCAGCAGCTGGGATTTCCGGAACTCTGGGGGCTTGTAGGAGGGAGGCTGGGTCTTGGGGAATTTGGCGGTGGGCGGTGCCGTGCGGTTTAGTTGTGCGTAGGAGACTTGGGGTGCGGCTACAATTGTTGCGTATTGGCGGAGGCGGAGAGATGAGGATCTTTTGCAGCGCAAGATTGAGGTTATTGCCTTTGAAGGCGGGGATATTCGGGGTGGCATTCTGGAGGAGAGTATTAGGTTTCTTCAACTGGGAATTTGTTGAGGGATTGCTTACTTTGTGTGGTTTGTGATGTAGTTTTGATATCAATTTCTAGGCACTCGAGTACAAGTTGAGGCCGCTCAAGAAGTTCCCCAGTGCCAGAGCGGACCCACATATATTTGTGGCCTCGTAAATAAGGTAGAGGGATAGATACACTCGATACATTCCAAAGCCATTATCCCACCCAAATTGTGACTCAGCTTGACGTGTCGGTATCACATACCTCAAAACCTTCTTAAGTGGAAAGTTTTCCATTGACAGTCATCAATCGGTCTCGGATTATCATGACGTCTCAGGTGGAGCCCAAAGCTCAGGCTCCTCTGATATCCATTACCCCTCTCCTCAAAAGACTCTGGCCCTCGCCAGGCGAAAACAATGTCACGGCGGAAGAGATTGCCGCGGCAATAGCACTCATTTTCACAGATCAATTGTCTCCCGTGCAAACGGGGGCTTTGCTCACATGTTTACATTTCACGGGATGGGATCGGAGAGCGGATGTCATCGCCAAATGCGCCGAAGTCATGAGAAATGCGGCGTCATTGGTTGATAAAGATATCCTAGCTGAAGTCGTCAAAAGGAGAGGAAGACCTGAGGGTCAATATAAAGGTGGTCTGGTGAGTTTGTTGAATTGGAATTTGTGTTTCTTCAATTGCTGATAATACCATAGTGTGATATCGTTGGAACAGGGGGTGACTCTCATCATACCTTCAATATCTCTACCACCTCTTCTATTCTGGGTTCTTCCCTTCTCTTTCTCAGCAAACATGGAAACAAAGCTTCAACTTCAAAATCTGGCTCAGCTGATTTACTTCATGCTGTGCAACCGAAACCCCCTGTGCTTGGTGCTGTCACGCCCAGCACCATCGCTCAAGTCTACGAGAAGACCAATTATGCCTTTCTCTTCGCTCCCGTCTTTCATCCAGGAATGAGATATGTGGCACCCATTCGAAAAGATTTAGGTTGGAGAACTATTTTTAACCTCCTCGGACCCCTTGCCAATCCCGTCGAGACCAGCATAGAAGCCCGTCTTTTAGGAGTGGCACGAAGAGACATCGGACCAGTATTCGCAGATGCCCTCAAAATGAGCGGTTCCAGAAAAGCCATGATCGTCTGCGGCGAAGAAGACTTAGACGAAATCAGTTGCGCAGGGAAAACCTACTGCTGGAGACTAGTCGATCGCTCAACACATTCTGATCCCTCTCCTGATGACATCGACATCGAAACCTTCACTATTTCCCCTTCAGACTTCGGATTACCCGCTCATCCCTTGGAAGACGTATCTCCAGGCAAGGAACCAGATGAAAATGCCCGAATTCTAACGAGACTTCTGCAGAATCAGTTATCGAAGGATGACCCTATTCTTCACTTTGTGCTTATGAATACGGCTGCTTTGTTTGTGGTTTCAGGCATTTGTGAGGCGGATAGTAGTGATATGGGACTTGGTGATGATGGAAAAGTTATCACGGAGAGGGGTCCTGGAGGTGGAAGGTGGAAAGAGGGTGTTAGGAGGGCAAGGTGGGCTGTGGAAAGTGGGGAGGCTTGGAGGCAATGGGGGCAGTTTGTAGAGATCAGTAATAGCCTGGCGGTTCATAGTTGAGATATTGACTATTGCTCCTCCCAGACTCTCTCAAACTCATTGATCGGAATTTAAAGAAATTCAAACCTGAATTTAGTCATTTCCCACCACATCTTTTGAACAACAAAAGTGACCTATGATTTTTTATATTGAGGTATGAAAGTAAACAAGTTTCTCCGCTGACTGTCGAGCCACTTTACTTGCATTACCGTAGAGTAGTATTCTTACTATCAAGATAATTACCAACCATAATAACAAAATCTTACTGGCTACCAAAGCCCATATCAACGTCATCAACCTGGATGGAAATAGGTAAACAAAATGCCACATCAAGCTTGCAATCCCACCAATCAAGCATTATTCTCGGCAACCAGGGCCGAGAGTGGTGGAGGATCTCAAGGGGAGGTCTCCCATCGGGTTTTGACGGTCCGGAGTCGGACAACCCGTGATCATTCAGTACTACCAGTATCTCCCCTCTCCCAATGAGAATGGTGATTGGAAAACGCATAACACTGAGGACAAGCTCTCCAATAAACTTCTGTGGTTCAAGGTTTGCTGCAGACAATTACGGCCCGGCCGCAGTTGGCGCCTGGTGAACCGCATTTTACCGCTCTGCGTGGAAAATATTTATAACGGGTCGAGGGGTAGCGGGGGAGCTCTATCTACCAAACAACTACGATTAAAATTCTTTGCGACGAAGGAAGGGATATAGACAGCATTGCTTTTGTTGTCTTTTTGAAATCAGAGAGACACTGAGATTCACTTGCATGTTCTGATAGGGTTCGGGTTTCGTCATTTGTTCTTTTTTTTGGTTTGGTTGATCAATAGCTTATCGCTGATCTCTCTTCCAGAACGAACCCCCAAATTTATTTAGGATATCAACACCACTTCCTCATACTTTCTTACCACCGCAACAATGTCTAAACCACAAGTTCTTCTCCTCGGAGAGATTGACCAGTAAGTCTCACCATCCTTCTCCTCCTTTCTCATTCCTCAATATCAAAACATCAAGCCCGCCATCCGTTACCCCGCCATTGTCTTTGTCTTGAACAGTACGAGTACTAACAACGCAAAGCGCCCACAAAGACTGGTCCTCCCTCGCCGAGATCGCCGATGTACTCGAGCCCAAAGCGCGATCAAGAGATGAGTTCATCAAGGAGTGCCAAACGGGGGTCTTTGACGGCGTCGTTGCTTCGTATCGAACGTTCCAGAGTGTGGCTATTACGGGACTGATTGATGAGGAGTTGGTTGCTGTTCTGCCTAAGAGTTTGAAGTTTATTGCTCATAACGGTATGGAGTTTTCACGAATTAAATCTCGAGAGGGGGATAGAGAGTCTGGATTGGAGTTGGAAAGGATTGAATGGTGGGGTTTCAGTGGAATATATGCTGACAAGGGAATAGGTGCTGGATATGATCAAATCGATGTCCAAGCCTGCACGAAGCGCGACATTCGAGTTTCTAACGTACCAACTGCCGTTGACGATGCGACAGCCGATACGAATATGTTCTTGATTCTTGGAGCACTTCGCGGATACAACTCTTGTGCGCCCTCCCTCTCCGCTTTTCCTTACCCTTTCTAATATAACCCAGCACTGTTCGCCCTCCGAAAAGGCCACTGGAAAGGCTCTCCGCCCCCACCCCTGGGCCATGACCCCCAAGGAAAAGTTATTGGAATCCTAGGCATGGGAGGTATCGGCCGAAACCTGATGAAGAAAGCTAGCGCCTTTGGCATGACTGCGCAGTATCACAACCGCACGAAGTTGAGCGATGAGCTCAGTGGTGGGGCGAAGTATGTTAGCTTTGATGAGTTGCTTGCCACCAGTGATGTTTTATCGCTTAACTTGCCATTAAATGTTGGTTTCCCTTTTCTTCCCCCTAACCAAATTTACATCCGAATTGCACCAAAGAAAAAGTCAGCGATACTAACAAAATGGACAGAAACAAACCCGCCACATAATCTCCACCCCCGAATTCGCCAAGATGAAGAAAGGCGTTATAATCGTCAACACCGCCCGAGGAGCCGTCATGGACGAAGCCGCGCTCGTAAAGGCACTGGATGACGGTATTGTTGGGTCCGCTGGACTAGACGTCTTCGAGGAAGAGCCAAAGGTTCACCAGGGTCTGATTGACAACCCTAGTGTTATCCTCCTACCACATATGGGAACCTGGACGGTCGAGACACAGACCCAGATGGAGGTTTGGTGTATCGATAATGTGAAGAGTGCCCTAAAGACGGGGAAGTTGATGAGTCCTGTAGGGGAGCAGAAGAACATGTAAGTGGCCTGGAAGAGGGGTTAGGGCCGAATGGTTTGGGGAGGGGTTGGATGGATAGATACAGTGACAGACCCAGTGGTAGGTTAGAAAATACTTCGCCGGGTACCTAGTGTATCCTGGCAGGAAAGAAACAAAAAAGATATACATACATACTATCAAGACTTCCTAAGTGATGTCGGCTAAAAGGTCGATTCCTACGACCGTAAGATAGGATACGAGGTTAAGCCTTATTAGCGTGTAGCCGATATAAAATCTAACTTTCTACCCTTGCTTCAACTATTATATTAATACGTCCCTAGAGCATATAAAGAGTCGAGAAATACACTTGAAATATATTAATACTTACTCCTATAGTATCGTACGATAATGAAGGAAGAAGAAAAGCGAAAGTTATAGGTTATAAGAGAAGCGCTTTTAGCGGAAATAGAGGGATAGGGAAAGTAATAATAACAAGTGAAATCGAAAATCGGGAATAATAAGATTTTTAGATATAGAATAGGGTTTCTATGAAAGAATCAACCTTTGGTAAGCGGATAGTTTAAAAACCTCATCGTACTGGTACTCCATAGTAATAAGCGAGTTCAAAAATACCGTGTAATTGTGCATTATACTGCGACCTTTCCTACTATCAAATTTGTGTAGATATTAGAATATGGAATATACATGTGAGTAAAAGAAAATTCTGGACAAAACTGTTCTAAATCAGATCCAAATCCACTCTCTAGTACCCCAAGCCATTTAGCCTCTATCTGACCCACCAAACTAGTTGATTCCTCTACCCAACCTAAACCGTCTAGCCATACTATCCCTCCATCCTTGGCCCCATCCTCTCCTACAGATCATGTCTCGCCCTCTTACTCGCTTTCCTAATTCTCTCGCCATAAAAGTATAGTACAAACGGGATGGGGATAAACGCTATACTCAAAAAGCCGAGCAAACTACTCGCCCACACGGTGCCGAGCCGGCGATACATGGCGTTCGCAAACAACGGGAAGCCAGCGCCAAAACTGCTATGCAGAAAATCGTTGCCAGCAAAGACGCTCGCCGCGTGATCCGGGTATGCGTCGCCCAGATAGTTGAGCACGCTGTTGAAAAGCAGAAAGGCGCCGGTACTAAAGAAGCTCGAGCCGATGATGGGCACAATCCAGTGGATTTGTGGTTGTGAGGTCCTAGAGTGGTGGTTGGTGTATTAGTTTTGGTTATAAAGCTTGGGTAGGTGAGAGGGGGAGGTTATAATAGCTGTTCTTACCAACCGAACCAGAAGAGACAGATAGGGATGCAGAATGCGCCCACAAAGGCCGGCGGGAGACGCTTCTCGGGCTTCAGCTCGCCATTCTCATTGAACTGAGGCTCTTGAACTCGATGAGCAAGAATGGAGGAATCACTACGAGAGCTCCAATGAAGATGCCTAAGAAGGAGAGTCCCTGTGACATATAAGTACGTATCTCTCCCATCGACATGAAAAAGAACCTACCTCTTCCCCAAGATTAAACCCATAGACCTCAATAAACACAATAGCAAAACTTTCAAACCAGATATACAGCAACCCATATATGAGCGCAATATACAGATTTAGCAGGAACAGGATCGGTTCCGTGAACGTGAGACTAAACGGACGGATGAGCACCATCAGGGTAATGTCTTTGCCTGTCATCTGCTCGCTTTGGATTTCCGGCTCACATTTAAGATCGTTGCGCCCCGTGAGCTTTCGTAGACGTCGTGAGCGGCGATAGAGGATGTTAGCTGACGAGGTCTCGGGGAGTAAATATAATGAGACAGAAACCGGAGAGCCAGAGGAGTTCCCAAAGAGTCCCTATGGTGTGTTAGAGCTGTGTTATGTGAGAGATAGTAGTTGGGAGTTGGGTGTAGGGGGAGAAGCGAGAAAGAGATTCGGGACTCGGTTAAGGGTATGAAGAAGTGGGAGACAGGTAGCTCAAAAGAAGCAGGACCCAGGCTGACTGGTTCTACCAGATATCCCCACAAAACAACCCTAATAAATGTATAGTAGGCATGCTCATGAACAGGACCCCTTCCTCCACCCCCAAAAAGATTTTATCAGTTACATTGCCACCCTCTATGTTGCGCGGCAAAACCTCCAACCAGCGGCCCCAAAACCGGACCTGACACAGCCGCCATCCCCCAGATCGCAATAGCATAAGCGCGTGTTGAGGGCCGATAGATATCTCCCAGGGACGCGCCACCCGTCGCCAGGACAGGCGATCCAAAGAAGCCAGTAAGAAAGCGGAAGGCCAGGAGCATACCAAAGTTCTTCGCGTATATAACGCCGAATTGGAAGAAGACAAAGACAACCAGCGTCCCTATGTAGACTGGGTTGCGACCAATCTGGGGTATCTCGCTAGCAGGTGCCCAAACCTGGGATTGAGGAGGGTAATTAGTTTGCGCATATGAACAGGTGAAGTTTAAAAGCTACTAAGGATTTTGGGATGCGGATTTTCGAAAAACTCCCCGATATTGTTAAAGGAAGGAGTAAATAGGAAGACCTACCATTGGCCCTAACCCGTACCCAGCAACGAAAAGACACAAGCCCAGCATCGCCGCGACCTGACTAACGCCAAATTGTTCCATAACTCCTACTGTACCAGCCGAATAAATAGATGATCCAATATAGACCGAGGTCGTAAGAAAACAAATCAAAAAGGCGACGAAGACTTTCTTAGGTGTAGACCAGTTCAACGGATGCTAATTCGTATATACTTCTTAGCAACGGCAAAACAAACCGTGGAACTGGGTGGGTAAGTAGCTCACTTCTGGATCATGTTCGCCATACCAAGTGACGACTGTCACATCCCTCCCTTTTTCGGGATCCACAGCCGCACCACTTGCTGCGTTTCGTTGCTGTTCGTTGCTTTCCGTCCTAGTATCTGAACTGACCCGGTTGTCTTCTGCGTTGGTTTGCCTCTGTTCGCTTTGGCGTCCATCATGGTAATTACCTTCCGTCTCTTTCGAAGGCCCCTTTTCTTCCTCTCCAACATGGCCGTGATGTGCCTACACATATCACATACTATTAGCACGAACTCGAACTTCAAGGCCCCTAACGAAGAAGAAGAGGAAGAAGAAGAGAAACGGGGACGTAAGTCAGGTCAATCAACATAACATACCATCCTCCCCGACTTTTCCCTATCCACATATCTCTCCCATAACGACGGATTGCTCTCCTCCTCAAACTGCAGAACCCTCCCTCTAGTCACCAGCCGAACTACATGTCCAAACGTTGAATCCCGGAATAATTCTCTCATTGCAATTAATTCCTTACAAAGATTTACCTTTCAAATAGGTGAGAGAGAAACCGAAATTATGAAAGAAGCGAGTAGAAAGAAAAGCGATAAAACATTGGGGACTTTTGTTTATCAGATAGAAAAATTCCTACCAGTACTTACACACCCATAGCATAGCAACCAAACTCATGATATCATAGTCATAGCCATACGGTAGCCACAGCCGTGGTCAGTCAGCCTGGCCAGACCCTTGGCGACTTAAGCTCGACATGCAGTACACGGAATTATCGGCCTTCGGACATTCAAATAACAAAAGAAATGATACCGAGAGGCAGTAGGAGAATTGGAAATGTCCGCTTGGAGCTCATGTTTCTGCATTGCGTTGCGGCACAGTGCGCGTCCAAAAACAAACTACTGAGAGTAAGGGCGGGTGCCAAGCAAAGTGCAGTACGAGTAGTATTGACATCATTGCCACAAAGGCCGCCCGCCTCAATTGCAACCAGAAAACATGATTCGTGGGAAAGACGCCTTCGGGGTCCATCGCATTGCTATTCCTTTTCAGTTTTAGAATCAGACTGAATAACTAAGCTTCGACTTTCCATCTGCTTGCCACAAATATTTTAGTACGGAATTTTCGCAATTAATAATCTGGGATGAATTGGGGATGGGTGACAAATGTGTACTTGGTTGATAACAGCCTATTCCAGACGAATTGTAAATGAAAGGTAACTAGGTAAGTAAACAAATATCAAAACAATAAATTGTTTTCCAGGCCCTCTAATTGTATACCTATGAATCCCAGCCCTAAAAGAAAGAAGATTAATAATCCACAAGCCTCTACCTACCAAGACGACGTTTGCAGTGCATTTGCATGTACATACAGCCCCTTCACCTAATTAGGTAACAACAAGCTTTTAATACAAAAAGGTGGCACATTTATTTGAGCCACTCCTATGGCGTTTACCCCTAACCATAAGGCCAAATGGTTGAATTCGCAAGCTACAAAAACGTAAGACAGTTAGGCGAAACTCTAAACACACTTTAAGAACCTATTATACTGAAATTCCTAAGAACGACTAACTTAATTGCCAACGTACTCGCTATTCACTTGCTTCTTCCCTGGATGTATAAGCCCCGAATGGACGAAATCGTTGTTTTTACTGTCGCCTAATTTATTTATTTATTTCTATTCCAGCCTCTTCTAAGGCAGTTTATAAGGACAAAGTTGGCAATGAAACTATCCCTACACGCTAAAGTCTATTCCCAATTGCAATGAATGAAGAGAGTACGTTGCAGAATTTCTATACATCAAAACTAGAAAAGGATCAAAGGATATCATCTTCACAGATAGTATCTCTACTAATTAGATACCTATCTAGCGTAGGACCAAATAAACACCCCAACTCCTTCAACTCCTTCAACTTCTTTATCCTTAGTAAAACCTCCCCTCTATCAAGCCCGATGAAACCATATATACCCAACTATCCACTTTCGACTTTCCACTAACCCCCAAATCCATCCAAGGCATTCTTACAAATCTCAATCGTACAATTCTACAATCTTGCTACCTGAAATGCCCACATACATACTCGACCTCCTCACATAAAAAAACACTCCCACACAACACCATAAGACCTCATCCAGCACAGAACCCTCCATACATACACCCAAAAACCCACCACGAAACAGACCAAATCGAAGCGATTCATCTCCGCCTCAACTAGTACAACTACGCGAAACCCACTACCGCAAGCCAGAATAACGAACACATCACTAAGCCGTAATTTCCAAGGTTCCTAGTACAATATCATGATATATTCCCAAGTATACAAAGCAAGCCCGGAGCCTAGAGACACAGTAACGTGAAGGATTGCTCTTCTAGGGGTGCAGATTTAGTAGTTCAGCAGCAAACTGGGTTGGATTCAGAACGTGGTAGCTTGAAAGTTATTAAACTGCGAAGAGATACTGTAGCATACGACATAGAGAAACATGAGAAAGTTTGAATAAACAAAATATCCGTCAGATATAAATCCGACGATTTGGTGGCATAAAATTCCGCTGAGGACCGTGAGATAGTTACATAACAAAGGATTAGATCATCACATGAGTCAATCTGCTTTACTCAGACAATCATAATTGAATGAGAATAGGAAGTCCCGAAGTGTATTTCTTGAGGGTATCAAGCGAATCATGGAATCTATAATGTACTGTACATTTTCATCTTACACACCTGCCAAAGCCCCATCCATGTCCAGGATCTTCTACGCAGCAACCTTCATAGCCTGCTGAACTTCCGGTACATATTTTCTCGGAATCAAACCCTCAGCCATCTCAATAGCCCCATCCATATTATTCTTGTTGAACAAGAAGAGTCCCTGTATGGCAGCCGTGCTAGTGGACATCTTAGTCTTGGTATGCTTACCTTCCCCAGCGATGAGTTCAAGCTGTTCAAGTCGTTTCAGGAAACGCTCCAGACCTTTGCCATCGACGTCGATATCGCCGTAGAACCTATTCCACATTTCTGCGGCTTGGTATCTTGTGGCTTCTCCTATTCGGACTGTCATATCTACTCGACCAGGTCGTATCAGAGCCTCGTCAAGTCGATCGATGTGGTTTGTTGTTAGGAATGCTATTCTTTCTTCGCCTGCCGCGACGCCATCCAAAGCATTCAGTAAACCTGAAAATGTAACAGTCGAACCATTATACCCATCCGCGTCCATTTTCCTCCTATTGACGAAAGCAGAATCTGCATCTTCAAGCAGGAGAATCGTTCGTGGGGGCAATTTCGTCAACATCAGCGCCAACTTATCATCCGTGATGCCCCGTTGACTAAGGTCAATAATCGAAACCCCGAAATCCAACTCCCCAGCCAGGGCTTGAATAAAGGAACTCTTGCCACTTCCAGGCGGTCCATATAGAAGATATCCCCTTCTATAAGGAATTCCCCGATCCACGTACCAATCCTGACTTGCCAGGAAATCTTTCACATCAGCCACTACCCTGTCCTTGATTCCCTGGTCTAGTATGACAGATTCAATAGGTCTCTTCTTCCGCGCTTCGCCAAAGGGTTTCCATTCCGTATGTTCAACGGTATACATCGTCGTCTTGCCTTCCCGCGCTTGCACGGCTAATTGATGTGCCTCCCGAAATATATCCTCAAATACATGTCTATACGCATACAGAGTCGTGAAAGTGACCGTCTCATGTGGCTCCCCCGTCTGCATGTTCGCCGTATTATGCTTCTCTCTGTTCACCGCGATATACGCATCTTGAACCCTTATGACATGTTTTCCATATCCAGGCTGCAGGAGGAATTGCGCATGCAACGGTTTATTGTGTATCGATCGCGAAGCTGTGTTCATGGAGAGATGGTGCATTCGCGTCAGTCTTGATTGAACAAAGCCTCCAGCCGGACGAGGCTGCGAGAGGTATGCGAGAACCCATGGGAAGGAGGGGTCTTGTTTGCTGATTTCGACATCGATGAGGAGGCGTCGTTTGAGCAGTGATGCTCCCCGGATTACTGTACGACGTGCGACTGCGGCGGCGGCTCCCAGACTTGCGAGGCCGATACCCCCGGCAAAGAGGGGGTTATTGAAGAGAGCATCGAGGGGGAGAATTGACGATGCAATGGGCGTCGATGGCGGCGGGGCTGTCATGGGGAGTTCTTGAGAAGGGGGAGCATTGAGGGAAATTCCAAGCTTCAGAAATGGTCTGTGGTCCTTGCCGAGGCTTGCTGCTTCTCATATTATGAAGGCATTTACAGTACAGTGCAAAAATTTTTGGGTGCACCAGAACTTTACACAGCTTTATTATGAGATTTTTATATTCGCCTTCCTGGCATTATCAAATCTACATTTATGGAGTGGCGTCGTTCTCCCCGAATGAGAAAAGAAGTAACCTTGCAGGTGGTAAGCAGAAAGAAAAGAAGTCTCGGGACACGTGATGACCACCAAGACCTCCAACCTCATCTCAAGCTAGGAAGATCTGAATTGACACCAATCAAGTCAAACATCTCACAGAAAGACCACAAACACCAATTTTATTTCTGTCCACCAACGGAAGACTCATCGAACACTGCCAAAGCAACAATGCGTCCTATATTTGAACTTTCAAACTTCATCAGTAAGATTCATAGAGAAGCCTGAAGGGCCAGTTCACTTACGAAGAGCTCTTTCCCAATTGTTCTTTTGAAAGAAACTACCTCCTCCGACCATACTGAACTACTTGTACTTGGAGAAGTGTTGGTTGAGATTCTCGACCTTGGACTTCTTGCGAAGGGGGTAGTGAGAGCCAACATCATTGGACTTGGGTTCCTGGCGGAGGTTGTATTGGAAACCAACATCAGCGGGCTTTGGTTCCTGACGAAGGTTGTAGTGATAACCAGCATCAGCAGGCTTAGGTTCTTGACGAAGGTTGTGATGAAGACCAACATCAGCTGGCTTTGTTGCCTGGCGAAGATTGTAGTGAAAACCACCATCAACGGACTTGAGGTTAGATTCCTGGTCAACGTGGTAGCGGTCATCATCTTCATTGGGCCTAGATTTCTTGTGAAGGTGAGAGCCATAGGATGGAGTAGCATCTTTGAACTCGGGTTGAAACTTGCGTTTAACAATAGCGGGAGCAGAAACTACGGGATCAGCGAACACAGGTGGCGGACTCGTCATCACAACACCACGCATGGCATCTGGTGAATTCTTTGGCGACTCTTTGGCAGTCTCGGTATCACACAGGCTACGATACTCGGCCATCGATGACATGATCAAAGAAGATCGAGGCTTGCATGGCGAGCGGATGACTCGGGTGGTCCCATCTTGTCGAAAGAAAGTCCGTCCTCGAAAGGTGTTGGAACGGAGGATTCTTGTTGAGGCCGGTGGTGATTGCTCGTCAGATTCCGAGTCATCTGGTTGCGTCTTCTTTGGTGTGGTCGGCTCGGTATCTGCAAATGGGGTGATTCTGGAAAGGACACGCTTGATCTCCACCTCCTTGCTCTCGTCATATTCAACTTTAAATCCGTGCTTTGGTGGTAAAGCCGGCGTTCTACTGCGCTGCGGACTGCCTGTGCGCGAGGACGGGCTCGTAGCTCTTGTGTTGGGTGGTGCTTCAAGCTTGACGATCCCACGGGCCAACTCATTAGAGCCACGGAAGATGAAGGGTGCTGGCAAAATACGCGGTGTGTCTGTAAGACCAGTGCAAACAGCATCCAGGAAGTCTTTTGCTTCGGCTTCGCTGTCTCGCCATTCCATATACAAATTCTGTAGCTCAGGAACCTCGTACGCAAATGGCTCGGCCCCTTGGTTCTCGTCAGTGGCGGCTTGCAGACTGGTCGATTGTTAATACTCACAAAGATAACCCCAATGCATTGCTTCGACAGTATGAAGAGCAAGAATCGAGTTTGCGAAGCCCATCTGACGAACCTCTTGGGCGCAGTGCTTGTAGAGGTCCATGAAACCTTCCTTGGTGGGGTTGCAACGAGATTCAGCCAAGGAGGTACCCTCTCGCAAGAACTTGTCGAGCATCTCGCGAAGATGAGTCTTGTAGAGGCTGGCCATGATGGAGACTTCTTCTGCTAGCCTTTGACAGAGTCAAGAAGACTAGAAAGAAAGTCGGATTGAGACGTCTGTGTGCGTTGGTTTGCACGTTGTTTTGTTGAGAAGTTGAGAAGCTGCGGACAAGATCGACCAAAACAAAAAGGTGAATTAGCCTTCTGTTATCTTACCCACCGACGCGTCCAGTGGACATAAACAACCTAATCTCCCACCTGTCGCTTGCCCACACCCATTGCCACGGAAAATCCTCGCATCCACCACACCCCCAAACACGTGCCCTGCCCCCTTTCAGGCCCACAAAGCCATACACACCAATCCCATTTATCCAAATTTCCTTTATAAAGCCAATAAGCAGATGGACTGTTGTTCCTGCGAGCAACGTGGTACCAAATGAAGGGTGGTTGTGAGTAGGCGCAAGTCGCACCAGCAGCGAAAATCTTGGGCTTATCCTCTAAAAATCCCACTGGCTGGGGTTTTCTAAAGGCTCTCCAAAATAAGGGGAGTCTGGAGTTTTGCCGTTTTGTTTTTTGGTATTTCCTTTTTGGTGGATTGATAAATTTTTTGGTGTTTTGGTGTTGATGCGCTAAGCGAGATTACAGATGAGGTTGGCGGTGGATGGTGCGTGGGTAAAGCGACGTTTTGTGGTAGGTTGACTTGGTGAGTGACAGTCAACTGAATGAAGATCAGTGGCAGCGGTATTTGAATTTCATCGTATTCTTGCTTTGTGAAGAACAAGAGATATAGCAACACTTACAGAGAAGGAAGCTTCTGATGCGTTTAAGTTACCATCGCTCTGCCTTTACCGCCTCATCGGGCGGCTCTTTTCAATTTTCGCTTTTAACTACTTCTTTGGCTCTTCGCATTCCTACCCAATGTGGTTCTCAATCTACCAGTACACTGGTACTCCTGAATTGGGAGTCCAATACAAGCTACACAACACGCCCGTCGAAGCTGTCAAGCAGCGCCTTCTGGTTGCTCCCTGTTCTGACCATTGAAATTCTATCCTCAGCCTCCTCACGATTGTTTCGACTTGATGCTTGCCCTCGAAGGCTGGTAGCAATCTGAGAGGAAACGTTGATATTTTTTATTGTTTTCAAGAACTTTGGAATTGATGGTAGGCAGCCGGCAACAATAGCAAGGCCCAACTCAGGGAAAGTGTATGTTGTCATCATGCTAATGTACCAAGTGGTATCAGCTGATTCTGCTAGGAGTACGCGGTAGTATAAACCTATTGCTGCTGAGACGCATGCCCTGATTTCTCATCAGATTAGCATTTCAGGTTTCGCAATGAGGTGATCTCAATACCACATACAGAATTGCAGCGCTGAAAACTGCTGAGATTTCCAACTTCTTCCGATTATCCAAGTGGAGTCTCCAAATAATAGGTTGTGGCAGGAGAACGATGATAAAGTCAGAAGCGACATTTACAGCAGCGGATGCGACCAAGACTGATCCCATATCAATACAAGTTCCATTTTCCACGAGCGGATCCCACGCTTTCCTAATCGGCTGGCACGAGAAGATCTCAAGAAAGAAGCCGCTGCCATAAAAGACCAAGTTCAACCAAATCAGTGCATGACAGGCCCAGAAGAATTTCCCCCTCTTAGCCGTGGAGAAGATTGTGATGAATTGTAGGAGGATGGAGGTTTTGATAGCAAGTACTACCAGGCTATATAGTATGGCACCTATGCGAAAGTCCTTGATTGGATTAGCGAGCTCGGGTGTTTTTGGTATGGAAATACGCACGTAGAGAAATGTTCGAAGGTCTTTGATCCTTACGTCCCATTGGTGTCTAGCACCTGCTGCTTGATCCCCTAATCTAGCAGCTACTAGAACGCCTAGGAATAGTAACTGCTACATCAGTCAATCGATCAAGTAATTAGAAGCATAAATGTTCCCTACAAAAGCTAAGAAGCAGAAGTCTGTGGTGGATTAATTAGTCTTTCATAAAGAATGAATGTCAAGTGAGGTGTCATGGGAACATACAATCATCCAACGTAACCTTCCGAATAATTCGAGTTTTTGTGTATAGACGGATTGAGACGGCCACCGTTGGAAGCAGAAAAAATATCAATTCCACTATCAGCATTGCTTTCATGAAATTTGGCGGATGGATAAAATTCGATGTCATGCCTAGGGGAGGTTTCAAAGCTGGGCCTTCGAGTAAAGTTTGCAGCGCCATGCTGTCCGCTGTGTCCATGATTGTGGGAGATGGGAGAGATCAAAACCTTCCTAGAAAAGCAAATCTCAAGAATTTCCGGACCGTTGCCATATGTAAAGAAAGCAAAGTGGGCCTCAAATGTCGCGAAACCATAGTCACATCATATTTCCTGAGCCTGGTTAACAGTTCATAAAGAAGCTGCAGGTACTATATAAACCCAGCCTTCTTTTTTGAGCTTGCTGCAACGCGCCCGCCAACTTTGTGGCATGTTATGGCTCCTGTGCAGAAAGATATCAAGCACCTTCCTGTTTTGTCGTTATGCAGAGGATTGCTACTTTGGATAAAAGTGGGTGAGTTGCAGTCTTGTAGAGTGGTGCACCACATAATGCACATTTGAAACGGCTGTTCCAATTCAGTGTGTTTACCAGATTTGAGAATCTCCAATACCACATCGCGAATGTCGATGGGTTGGGTCCACCATTTTTGGGAAAAGGTTCCGTTGGTGTTTGATTGGTTGGATTTTCGGGACTCGTATATACGGTACATCGCCTAATTCTTTGTGGAGGGTATGTTACATTATTACCCCTAAGCGCTCTACACTAGTTGAAGGAAAGAGATTTCTTGGTGATGGGAATGTTGTGGTTTGTGCAGCGTGAAGTTTGGGAAATGAGTTCAGGCTCTCCACTATTACCTAGACTGATGATTTACTGATGATTTACTTATGTAAACTACAACAGAATTGGCCAGGCATCTATTTGACCTATATGTGCCCAGTTATTGCGTGCGCATTGTTGTTAACTGCATTTGATTGACAATAGAAGACATAATCTGAATGAATTGACATTTGACCCTTTTACATCCCGTATCTAAACGATGAGAGGCTCCTAGTGTTGTTATTTCTACTAATTCCTATCAGCTTGAGCCTTGAAAAAGGTTCTAAGTTTCTCTCACCGGTGTTAATATACAACGTTTCCTCAGCCGTATTTGCGTTTGTGTGGAAGTGAAGATGGCGGATCGTTAGGATGGTCTGGCATGAAGAAGGGGCAATGCGCCAGGCCTTCTGGGAATTTCAATTGGTTCTGATAGTGAGGGTTTGCGGCCGCCAGCCTTTCATCTATTCCTCAGGTCTTGGAACTGGTTTGCCCTGCTTCTCGATATTCTTTTTGTATGGGACCTTTGGTGGGTTTTGCGGGCGAAGAGGACTCCAATGAGGATTTCCAGGCTGCCCTTTGGGGATTGGCTTGCCCTGGATCCAAATGTCATTCTTCTTTGGGTTCTTTGGCAGGTTGGATTTGCGGAGAGGTTCTACATGAGGGTTCCCAGGTGCTCCATTGGCTATCGGTGTGCCCTTGATCCAATTAACCTTTTCCCCATACTTTCTTGTCCTGAAAATTCCTGTTTTTCCCCTACGACTACCGAACAATGTTCTCAATCCCCGTGTGGAAAGAGCTCCAGTACCGGCTGATGGTACAGGAATTCCAGCGACCAAAATGGAAAGTACAGTTACAGCGAAAAAGACGCTGGGAAATAACATCGCGAAATTGAGTGTTGGTAATATATTGCTCTTTGTAATAGTGAACTCCTCAAAAGATTGCCATTGATGAAGTTGGAGAGGAACAAAAATTTCAATTTTAAACGAAGGTATCGACATGTAGCGAACGTATTCTTGCAGCTGAAACAGCTAGAATGACAGAGAGAAAGCAAGCGATAAGTAAAGAAATAGAAAGAAGAAAGAAGAAAGAAGAAAGAAGAGAGAGAAAGACGTTAAAGGCGTTGAAGCGGTGGGCGAGAAAAGAGAAGTAACGGAGAAGATGGAAGTATAAATGACATCCGTGGATGCCTGCAAAAGAAGTCCCTATATCGAGAGTTCTGTAACGAATTAACTTCAGTGCAAACCCAGCTAAGAAATTCCGAGGGTTAAGGGGCGGGAACTTCTACCAAAAACCGCCTGTTCACCTTACCTCTGAAAGCTTACTGGGAAGCCCAGAATATATCAAGAGTTCAGGGCTGAGAATGAGTTTATTAGGCGAGGTCACTTTAGAGTTTCTTACGTACACTCTTTGCTTAGGCTTCTTGGGAGGTTTTATACCATGTCAAACACCAGCCATGATGCCCCATGTTGGGCATGCGCTTTCTCTGCATCTCTCCTAAGGACTGTCCCATAAGTTTGCAGTGACGATTTTACGAAGTATTGCACAACCTTAGAGTCTAAAATTTATGGTACCAGGGATGTTTCAACTACCCAAGAAGAATTCATCTTTGTAGCTCTTTAACAACGGCTCTCTTGACGAGGATGATCACATGTAAGATCTTAGATACCCAGTCCAGTAAACCAAGTCAAGGCAGTGGCTTTCCTGGAAAATAAGCCCTGCTTTAACATCCGCTCTAGTTTGAACTGGATCCAGGAAACATGATTCTGGGCTGCTTCGTGTTATGCCAGGGACGATGTAAAGAGTATAACTATGGTTAGTTCCTAAATTTCCATAGAATTCTACAACGACCCAAACACCCTGATGGACCACTTTGAATTTTTTTGTTGCATTTTAGGATCGGACTCTCAGTTTCGTCTGTGACATCTGAACGAAGTTGTTTTACAGTACTCTTCTTGTCTGACGGGTTGTTCAGCCAAGAAAGTTCATCCTTAAAATAACCTCATAAAATCACCGCAGATCCCGGTAGACTTTCAGTTTTTACTATGTTTTCACCCTTGGCGAGAACATTCAGCAGAATAATATCGCGAGATTTATAAAAAGGGGTAAACTTTTCATGGGTAAAAAAACTAAAACAAACTTTCTATTTGCACCTAAACGTCAGTCGTCGACCACAATCCCCGTTCCCACTCCCTATCCTCACGTGAGGTATCTTGAGAATCTCACCTGGGAACTCACTTTCTTTCAATACGTACACACGTGCAGAATCCCGACCAAGTGGTTCGCGGTTAATAATCAGGGCCGTTTGACTCAGCTAAGCATGATGATATAACTCCGCGATTATGTGCTTCGTGCAATCGGAGAATTTGATGGGTCTCGATGAAGTGGAAATTCGCGATCATGTACGTGCTTTTGCGACATGCAACAATGCTGTAACGAGGAGTACTTATTTCAGGGGTCTATGCAGTGTTCGGCAAGTGGATATCGGCAAACGTAGAAGTACACATTGGAAAGTTCTGTTCCATCCTTGATTTGTATGGAATCATTACGTCAAATCTTCTTCGAAAACTCTTCCAGAAATAAAACTGACTTTGTAACGTGACCGAATCGAATTTCTGTGAAATCGTCCACTGGATGCCCTTGCAGATGCTTAGTGCTATTTTTGTAGTTGATTCGTATGCGAGGTTCAATGGAGGGGGTGGAATAAGGCGAAGGGAAAGAGCGTGAGGAGTTGTGAGAATTATTAGATACGCATCGAAGAACTGAGGAACCGAGGCGAGGGTTAGATGTGTCTTTGGTATGTACTTTTCTACTTACGGTACAGAAAGTTTTCGAGGATACTCGAATTATACAACTGCGAACCTAGAAGTAGACACTCGACACTACTTGTATAATTCATGGAACTCCGCCCTCACTTCTGGATCTAAGTCTATTCGAATCTCTTTGCGTATCAAGTAGATCTTCCAATACCGGAATTGAAGTCGCGTTTTATCACAAGTAAACTACATTGTTGAACATGCATGCAAAGAGCAAGCGTAACAGGCCAATTTTAAGACACACGATCGAACACCCCTCTCCCTTTGTGAAAGAACACCAAAATTTTGCGGAAAGGGCTCTTGTAAGTTTGAAACAGCAGACTGGTATTTCGTATAGTAAGAGTTTGTGCGGATACGCTGTACAAGCCGGTATTCGATTTCTTTATGTAGTCGTGGAAGTACCGGGCCCCACCCCCACACAGCCCTACAATAAATGCCCCATCCATAGGGCGATTAAATGGATCCATCGCATTTATATCATGAGCTTTGCCGATCCTATTACGCAATTTTCGTTCCGTACTATATATTATAACTTCTAAATATTGTATTGGCAAGACATTTGCATAACTTATAGTTGCATAAAGGTTTGCAACACGAATATACGAAGTAAACCTCCGGGTAATCCGATCCCCTTGCGCTGAAAGAACCCCACAATTGTCTCAAAATTTCCAAGATCATTAGAAATTCTTGTTTTAGATGCTCCGGTCTGGACTCCCTATTAATCGCAAATTCAGATTACACAAACCTCCATAGAGATCATATATTCGTATGAGTGTTTGAGCTCTATTAATCGCTCAGATAGTATCTACCTAGGTACATTTGCCCTTGTTGGTCATGACTGCACTCACTTGTTCAAAACGCATAACATCATACTTTCTCTTCACCTGTTCTAGGTACATTTACAGTTGAATACTTTATCATGGAGAGCTTTATATCGTTACTTATGTCGATGAGCTTCCACAAATCAAGGCCAAGCTATAGGTCACAAAGCGACAAACACCTACAATTATAGAGACTACTAACGCATCATTATCATACAGAAATTCGCCCTCACCAAACCGTAATTTTCAGTTGAATATCAAGTCGAGCTATCAATCCCTCTTTGACATCTCTTCATGCTTTGGTTTCCGCAATTTTCTCCCGATTCTCTCCACTGACAAAGGTAGAGTATAATATACAAAAGGTATGAAAAGGCATAGATTGTGTACACTGAATGCTTGATACTCAAATGCGCGGCATGATCCAACGCAACACTACATATTCAAGGACATCTCGTTCACTTCATCCTGCGCGAATAGATACGCACCATCTATGCAAATATCAATTCAGCTTGAGCTCAAAATAGTTCTGCTAATTTCTCTGATGTGGTTGAGCTCAATCTTGGGAAGGACTCGTTTTTTTGGGGGAGGGGGGG